ACACTTACACACTGTTGGTGAGAATGTAAAATGGTAGAACCACTTTGGAAATCGATTTGGTGCTTCCTTAAAAAGCTAGAAATAGAAGTACCATATGATCCCGCTATCCTGCTCCTTAGAATATATCCTAGAGAAATAAGAGCGATCACATGAATAGATACATGCATACCCATGTTCATTGCAGCACTGTTCACACTAGCAAAAAGATGGAAACAACTTAGGTGCCCATCAATGGATGAATGGATAAACAAATTATGGTATACTCACACAGTGGAATAGTATGCAACAATAAAGAACAATGATGAAGCTGTGAAACATAACATGGAGGAATCTGGAAGGCATTACGCTGAGTGAATTTAGTCAGTCACAGAAGGACAAATATTGTACAAGACCACTATTATAAGAACTCAAGAAAAGGTTTAAACGCAGAAGACAACATTCTTTGATGGTTACGAGGGTGGGGAGGGAGGGTGAGGGTCATTCACTAACTAGATAGTAGACAAGTATTATCTTAGGTGAAGGGAAGGACAACACACACTACAGGGGAAGTCAGCACAACTGGACTAAACCAAAGCTAAGAAGTGTCCTGAATACAGTCAAACACTTTGAGGGACACAGTAGCAGGGGTAGGGGTCTGGGGACCATGGTTTCAGTGGATATCTGGGTCAATTGGCACAACAAAGCTTATTAGGAAAATGTTGTGCATCCTACTTTGGTGAGTGGCATCTGGGATCTTAAAAGCTAGTGAGCAGCCATCTAAGACGCATCAATTGGTCCCAACCCACCTGGAGTCAAGAGGAATGAAGAACACCAAAGACACAAGGAAAGTATTAGCCCAAGAGACAGAATGGGCCATATAAACCAGAGACTCCATCAGCCTGAGACCAGAACTAGATGGTGCCTGGCTACCACCAATGACAGCCCTGATAGGGAACACAACAGAGAGTGCCTGATGGAGCAGGAGAAAGGTGAGGGGCAGAACTCAAATTCTGGTAAGAAGACTAGACTTAATTGTCTGAATGAGACTGAAGAAACCCCAGGAAGCATGGTCCCTGGATTTTCTATCAGCCCAGAACTAAAATAATTTCCGAGGCCAACTCTTAAGACAGGGATTGGACTGCACTGTGGGACATAAAGTGATACTCGAGAGGGCGGTGCCTCTTAGCTCAAGTAGATACAAGAGGCTGAAAGGGCAGCTTCTGTCCAGAGGTGAGATGGGAAGGCAGAGAGGGTTAGGAGCTGGTTGAATGGACATGGGGAATCAAGGGTGGAAAGGAGGAGTGTCCTGCCACAGTATGGGAAGGGCAATTAGGGTCACGTAACAATATATGTATAAATTTTTGTATGAGAGACTAACTTGAATGCAAACTTCATTTAAACTACAACAATAAAAAAAAAAAAGAATTAAAAAAAAAAATTCTCTGGCCATAGTTAGAAATGCTAGCCTCTGATGAAAATGCAACAGGGGCTCTCTTGTTGGTATTGGCCTGTGTATGCCGCTAGGCCTACCCTCACCTTCCTCCACATGTCATCTCAGCCGGGCTCTCAGGGTACCCGAATCACCCGAGAACGGGGAATCTCAGAGGCAGAGTGCAACACACAGCTTTCTTATGGAGCAAGGTGAGTTGCTCAGTTCTACCAGCTTCCACTGAGGGCAAGAGAGGTACTTTCTCTAGACTTGGGGCTGATTTGTTAGTTCAAGTTCCATTCCCAGGTGGAGTACTAAAATCTAGTTAGCTGTCATGCCCATAATCTCCTGAACTGATCTTCTGCCCTAAGCACCAGACATTTTCACCTCAGCTCTCTAAAGTGCCTCTCTACTAACTCATCCTTCCTGTCAACCTCTTCCCGTTCCCGTCTGTGAGCTGTCTGTTCCTTTCCTGTTTCCTATTAGCCAGTGTTACGATCAATCAAAAGAACGTTCTACTGTTTTGTGTGCTGTCTGCACACTGCGTGCCTGCTAGGCAACATGAGTCAAGAGACATGAAGAAGCCTCGGTCTAAGTACCAACCATGAGTGCAAGAGAAACAGCTCAAAAGAGAGGCAGACTCGTTCCCTGGCTCAGGATCACCTCAGCCTCCCAGTGACCAGCTGTGCACATCATCTGGTTTCCCAGTTGCCATGTCTTGCTCCTTCCAATCAAATTCTGTCACAGTTTTTCCAAGCTGTTTTTCTAAAGCACAAACAATGTGAGTGGCCCTTTTAAAATCTGTGTCTTCCCACTGCTTACAGAAAACTCTCACAATGGGATCCTGGCCTATCTCTTTACTTTTCAGGCTCACCCTCTACTGCTCCATCCTCTTCTCATATCGCAAAGCATGCCACCAATGCACAAGACATCTGGACTCATGTTGTTCCTTCTGCCTGCAACGCTTTTCCCCACCTGTTGAACTGCTTTAAGACTTAGCTCAAACAGCACCTCCTTTGAAAAGAAGCCTGCACCGTACTAGCTGCTAGGGAAGAATGCATCTGGCAGTTCATCATTCACTCTCCTTTCCCTCAGCCCTTAGCATGCTGCACAGCCATTCTCTATGTGTCCACCTCTCCCTCTTGAGTGCATCTGCAAGTCCTTCAAGTTCTGGGCATTTCTGTGTTGCCAAGAATCTTCTACTCAGCACAGTGCCGATATGCAGTAAACACAGAACAGAGGCCCATTGGCTACAGCAGAGGAAATCCAATTAAAATAGGACACCTGGTGACTGAGTGGCATAGCTCATGGTGGAGTAGAAATCAAGGCCAACGTAATATTTCTGTAATGACTCTCGTACTTTGAGGATGGGTTAGGCAATATCCTCTTGCTAAGATTAGTACCAACTCTGAAAAATATTTCATTCAGTTGTAAAGTCCCAATTAAATGCCTTTGTACAACTGGAGAAATAAAACCTTTGATTAAAACTTAAAATTTCCCCAGCCCTCTAAAATAGGGTGGGGGAGGGGAGCAGGTGTGGAAGAATGTCTGATCTGTCATATTCTTTAGTCAGAGCCATGAACATGTTTGGGTAAGACAATCTGATGTTCTGATAAGGTTGATAAAGTAACTTGAAGACTGGGTCACAGGAAGCCCAAGATAAAAGCTGAGAGGAAACAGGTTCTTTTTGAAGTAGCCTCTTCATAATCATTTTCCCATACATTTATTCAACTTCCGACTGAGTACTGAATACCTGATTTGCTTTGCAAATGAAACAGCTTAAGAATGAGAACTTGAGATGATGTTACAACAAATGTCTGTGAAAGGTTCCTCTGGCTAGCTTTACGTGTAGGCTTTGGCTTCAGAACTGTATTAACTGTTCCTGCAAGACATGGGCAAACTGTGGTCTTTATTGTTAACTGTACATTACCCTGTGTTAAAAATGGATTCAAAGTGATTTGTGGGAAAAGACTAAAACAGCAAATAACCAATTTATTAGCACCAAATAAAAAAGGGAGTAGGACAAAGGACTAATGGAGCACAGCTACCAAGGCCTCCACCCAACTGAGTCCAGTACAGCTAAACGGTGTCGGGCTACCACCGACTGCTCTGACCAGAATCACAACAGAGGGTTCTGGACAGAGCTGGAGAAGAATGTAGAATAAAATTCTAACACACACACAAAAGACTAGATTTACTGGCCTGAAAGAGACTGGAGAAACCCCGAGAGTATGGCTCCCAGACACCTTTTTAGCTCAGTGGTGAAGTCATTTCCGAGGATCACCGTTCAGCCGGAGATTGGACAGCGCCATAAAACGAAACTGGACTAATGAGGCACAACAGTCCAGGGACAAGGACTAGAAGGCAGAAGGGGACAGGAAAGCTGGTGATAGGGAACCCAAGGTTGAGCAAGGACAGTGTTGACATGTAGAGGGGTTGTTAACCATTGTCATACGGCAACATGTGTACTGTCTAATGAGAAACTATTTTGTTCTGTAAACCTTCATCTAAAGTGAGAGCAGCACAAGTGGAAGAATGTAATCGATGTCACTGAACTGTGCATGTAGAAATTTTTAAAATGGTGTATCTTTGGCTATGTATATTCTCACCAAAAAAAAAAAAAAAATTTCGAGAAGGGAGAGTGTTGACATGTCGTGGGGTTGTTAACCAATGTCATAAAACAATATGTGTACTGACTGTTTAATGAGAAACTATTTGTTCTGTAAACCTTCACCTAAAGTACAATTAAAAAAAAAAAAAGGGAGTAGGAAATGGTAATCTGGAGGAAAAAAAAAACTGACTACAGATGAGTAGGCCATCAGATTTTATCTAGTCCTGTCAGCCAAAGCAAAATGAAAACCATTCTTTTACCCAGGGGAAAAAATAGTCCCTTAGGCTAGTACTTAGCTTTAAAAGAGATTTCTCTTGAGGGTCTTCACAAGAAGATATGATAGATAATATTCTCAGCAGCATCCTGACAACACAGGAAATAACAGGTTTCCTAAGGGTGCAAAGCGGATATCACAGCTCCAAAACTCAATTGGTGGCAAGGGCAGCAGAAGAAAAGGCAGCACCATCTATCCTCTTGCTTATGCCATGGCAGTGGTTTAACTTTACTTTCCTGTTCTATGCACATGTAGGATTTTTACATAAGCTGGCAGCTCGGAAAAGGAAGGGAGCAAGCCCTGCAATGCCCAGACGGGTCTCTTCTCCTATGCAAAAAGCACATTTAAGTCCTTGGAAATTTGTTGACACATCAAAACTTCTCAGTGTCCACTGTGAATTTCTGCCTAGCACAGTGTCTGGCAGTCAATAAATGTTTGTCAAAAGAATACATGATTAACCAGGCAGTGTTATTGTGCTGGAGATACATTAATTAAATGAGATGATGACATTGATACCACTAAACAAAGTCTCTTTTTATCTTTTAGTGAGATATATTCTGCATACACACTTCTCTAAGTTATGACTTTAGAATTGGCTTTTGTTCTCAAATACCCAATGAAAAAGATAACAGAACCTGGATAAAAAATTTTGGGTGAAAAATGAACTCTATTAGTGAAAAGAAGCATATTTAAAAACATCTCTGCCAAGTTTCTGTTTCATGATGATTTCTGTTTTCAAGACCCACAACATTAAGAGTTTCCAAGTATGAAATTACACAGGCCTTTCTTAACCATATAAAATTGAGAAGTCACAAAGAACCTGCCCATTAACATCAGGATGGGAGTAAACACAAAAATCTTAAGAAGAGCAGCAGACCGCTACAGGCATTAGGTAAAGATTTTTATTTCTTATATAACCATGCTGCATGTATACATACAATACTGATATATACAACTTAACAAATACAATTTATACATAAAATACAATGAAAGTGTGGCTCTTGAAATTAATGCAACAAACTTTTGTACAATTTGTCATTTTGGCCAGTATACAGTATGTAGTAATGCTACTGAAATTATTAATGATTTAAATTAGTCAGACTACAGTATAAGTTCAAAGGCAGTAGGAGACCTACATTTTCTTCTGTCAGTCTAAGAACAAGGAAGAATTAAAATGGAAAACAAATGTATACACCAAGAAATCGGGCAGACACTGCTGCGCTGAAATGTAAACTCTACCCATTCCTTAATTCACAGCCCTATGGGAAAGAGAGGAACTTTCCTTCAGATAAAGAGTTAAGGGGAAAGAGATATTTATAACAGACTAAAAAGAAATAAGGAAAAAAAAAAAAATCCCAAAACAACCCATACAGAAAATCATAATCATAATTTTAAAACCTGCCACCGATGAAATAGTACCACCCCACCCCAAAAAGTAGCCTTAAATTTCTTGCTGAAAAAAATTCCTCTTTTTCCAGAATATAGAGACAGTTTGACAAATGGATTCTGCTTGTGGGATAAACATGCAGATGTAGACTACCCTTAATTAATCTCATACTTCAAAAGAATCTAAACAAAAACGGGGAATACTATCATATTTTAATATCCTAAGATTTAACATGTAATTATAGAGTTTATTAAAGAATACTCTATAAACCAGTAACACTCTACCAAGCTCCATTTAATAAATAAATATTACTTCTTAAATTAAAAGGAAAAAAGAAGGAATATACATTCAGTAACCTATTTATATGTATGTGCCACTTGTTTTAAACCTGTGTATTTATTTCAAATAGCGAGCAAGTTTATTCACCTATATCCTTTCATAAAATTAACACTGAAGTCACAAAACATTTCATTTGTGGTGAAAGACACAATAAATGTGAAGAAACCATAGGACTGCTATGATTGGAACTCAATGAATAGTTCAAAAGTTAGTGCCCCTGTTTTCTCATATAGGTATTCAGGCCTGGCTTGAATATCCAATTTTGGTATCTCATAAAATGAATCTTTAATGCCCATCTGATATAATCAGTTGTAACGTAAATGCTTTAAAAAAAAAAAAAAGAAAACTGCTAAAAACCACGTTTTAAGAATTCTTCAATGTTTTGTCTTTTTATAGATTTCTTATTATTATGGTGGTGGGGTGGAATAGAAAAAAAATCCAACATACTGGCTTAAAATTTCTATAATGTTTTACAGCTTAACTCAAAAGTTACTCCTTTGTTATTAACTAGATTGGTAAAGACTAGAAACATGGACTTTTAAAAAGAAGAAGCATTAACCTTTTTTTTTTGTCCTACTGGTAAAATTAAGATATCTCTAGAGCAATTACTAACAGAAGTAAATGTGCATCATCAAAAATATTTTACAAGTGCCAAGATATTCTGCTTACACAAAGATTTTCCAAGACGTAAATTCACCTCAATTCTTCACAGTACCTAAACAATGCCCCATAAAGTTATAAACTTTGAATTATCTTACACACTACAAAGAAAATGCTGACAAATGCAATCTGTATTACCCAGAAAATACTCACCATACATAGGACATTTAGTACTCTATCTCTGATACATACTTCAAATTTAAGGACGCATTTTTACCACCACCTCACTAGTACGTCACTGACCCCTAACTCTATACAAGTTTTCTAATTATAAACCAATGCTTAGTCAAACTTATTAAAATAATGAAAATTTAATAAATACTAACTTACGAAGTCTCAAAACATCTGCAAACAATGTGTTCCAGAACTGATTATGCAATTTAAAGACTCACAAAAGACATTATTGAGTGGTTTAGGAGCAGCATAACTTTAAAAACAAAACAAAAACTTTGTAAGCAGCCAACGAAAGAACAATTTTATCTATTATAACTTATTTTACTACAAAATGAAAATAATTTTTATTTTTATAGGAATACGGTCTTAACTGGTCTTAAAACAGAAGAAATTTGGGAAGAATACTTCCTTTTTATAAAATATGAGAAAAAGCGTTTTTCTGGCTTAGTTTCATTTTCTGGAAAATGGAGACCTTTCTCAACTGGGAGATACAGAGCAATTTCCATCAAAATGCAAAACCAAGACACAGCAAAGTATTCAAGCGTCACAATCCAAGTGATTTAAAAAAAAAAGAAAAATACAGGCAAAGATAAAGTGACCAGTATTTAGCTTCTTAATTTTCTGCAACTGTGGCTCCTTTATATTTAGGTACTGAACAGTGTTTCAAGAGAACATGAAACCATAACAAAAAAAGCATATTTAATTTGAACTCAAAGTGGTAAAACAGGTCGGCAGAGATTCAGATGAAACACATATTCAACCGTTCTTTGAGACATGTATACTTCTAAAGATTGACTGTCAAATTATAAAATTTTCCACAGAAGACCTATAAATCGTCATCTTATACTTAAAATACAATGAATGTTAGAATAAAAACTAGGAACATTTAAACAGGCCAGGTAGGTCAGTATTAGGATTGAGTCATTTCTTAGATGTGCAGCCCACACAAATATAACAGAATAACACAGGACAGTTTGATCTGCTAGTTTATATGTGCAAAACAGGACATAAATTTTTTAAATTCTGTTTATCTAAATACAAAGTAGTTGGGTAAATGGTTAACTGATTTACGTATGCATCTAAACTGCAGCTCTCTATAGTGTGAGCTGCTCCCCAACTTCAAATTAAAGAGTAACATGACAATCTGAACAATCACTAGTTGTACAATTTTAATATGTCATATTAACTTAATATATATAGACTAAAAGATATTAGGCAAATTATTATTTCCAGTTGTACTCCACAATTTACAGCTTCCATTATTCAAAATTACACAGAAGTCTTCAGTGCTTTAATTAAAGATTTTGTCTAGGCATTAGAATATCAGTAATTTTTGTCATGATTTTAAGTCCATTAACATTTACTGAAGTAAAGAGTCGATCACAGTTTCAGGCTTTGCAGAACGCTTTCTGTTTGGAGAAGGGAAAAAGAAAACATGAATGCTTTCCTTGTAGATAATACAAGGTGGCCACAGAGTCTGCAAACACAGGCCAATGTCTGACCATGGTAAGTGATCAATTCATGCCCACCCTTGCAGGCTCGGGGAAGGTCACCTGGAGTAGGCATAAGAGGATGATGCCACACCCCATTGGCCAGAGTGGTGAGGGGCTGCGTGGGTGATAATTTCCAACACTGGATTAAACCCTTGATTACCTCTCCTGAGGTATGCTAACGGTGCAGATTTATTTAGTAAAATTCAGAGACACAAACAATCTGAGGCAATTCTTCAGATATGTACGGATTGATGAAAACACTACATTAATGCGCTGTGTTTACTGCAATTTTGCTCAGCACATTAAAATACACATTGCTAATGAGGGGCATCACACTGAACACATCATGTAATATAATGTAATATAAATACACCACTTATTGTGCATATTTGCCTATGCTTATGGCCACCTTATCGTTTTCTTAGGATTTTCATGACACAGCAGGCTAATCTGGTACACAGAGATGCTGGGTTTGGCTCACCTAATGCTGACCTACACTTTTTTTTTAAAGTTAAAACAAAAAAGTACCTGTTTTAAAGTTAGTATTCTGAAAACTATCTTCAAATCTTATCAAATTATTTGTCTGTTTTAGGTCCACACAGTTAAAAACAAGTGATGAAAAGTCGAGAGATTTCACATAAACAACCTGGATTTCTGACTTCGCCTTAGAAATGTGAAGCTCCAGAAACAAGGGACGTCTATTCCCATAGCTAACTAGGAACCGAGCAGCAGCCACTCTCTTCAGACAGAACAGCTTTCCAGTCTGCCCCAGCCTCCCCTTTCTATTTTTCTCCTAAAACTTGAGGGCAGGTTTTATCATCACACTTACATTGTTGTTTTTCTCACAGCAGAGTTAAAAGGAAAATATCTCTATTACAAGTGAAAACAGATAGAGAGATTTGTGTTTCTTATAACTGATTTGCTTCATTCAGTAGCAGTATATGCATGGCTTCTGTAGACATATGACAGTTGTTGATCCCTGGCTTAAACGCTAAAGAATGTAAAAATCTGTACATTTCATATGCAACTGATTATCCTCCCAAGTTCAGCTATCCCAAATTTATAAAAGTTAGGTTTATGTCTGTGAGATTACATAATTCAAAAATATTAAAACCATACAATTTCACCCTACATGTAACTCAAAAGCACACATATTCAAAATAAGAAAAAAACAAGCTTATTATTTCCTACCACTTCAAGAGCCCCAAGTCTTATAATCAGTTTAAACAGGCTGAACAGCACTTGATGGAAGAGAGAAAAGAAATAAGCTCCAGCCCACATCCTGATTTTTGTAGGCTTCTGTGATGACACATGGAGATTACCCAACAGCAAAAGCCAGGAACCAAAGGAGAGAGAAAGATGGGCAGAGAAATTTTCCTTAACTCATAACTGAGGAAATCAAGGTTCTTGGGGCAATGTTGAAGATAGAAAAAATAAATCAGCTGAAAACCTTGGGAGTCTAACTAGGCAACAAAAAGTGGTAACTTGTAACACACTTGTAAAAGCTGATTAGCAGAAGGATTAAGTGCAAGAATTAAGAAACTAAACAAGATAGTAGGTGATCTATTATATATTTGGAAAGAACAAAGTGAACTATAAAAACAAATCCTATTACCCAGGAGGGCTAAAGAAGTTGGAAGACCTTAATTCTTTAGCCGGATTTTATCTACTCAAATTGTAACTATATAAGAACTTTAAAATTCACTCAGTATTTCTTATATAAACTAGTTTTAAATTTGATTAGTATTTTAATATATCAGCCAAAATATTTATCACGTTAACAAAATAAATTTTCATTTTCTTGAAATATATCTAATTAGAATATCTCAATACTTTCATTTCATATGACTCAAGGACACTCCTTACCTTCTCCCTGTCTTTGGCCTTCCTTTTCCCTTTGAAGTCCGTGGCCTTTCTAATTTCATCAAGGACTGCCGCAGGCTCTCCTCTGTGTAGGCGAGATACACATGGGAAAGGTCCACTTCAAAGGGCTAAGTAAAAGAAACAGATACCAGGACTCTTAAAGGAGAAAGTTAAACCAGTTTGGGGGAAGATTTGAAACACTAAATAAACTCCTACATAAAAGCACAGAAAACAAGACCTAATAAATGTCTACAAGTTATCTTCTAATCCCATTACCTAAAGTATATTCACCAAGAGTTGGTGTTTTAGTTGTCTAGTGCTGTTATAACAGAAATACCGCAAATGGATGGCTTTAACAAACAGAAGTTTATTCTCTACAGTCTAGGAGGCTAGAAGTCCAAATTCAGGGCACCAGATCCAGGGGAAGGCTTTCTCTCTCTGTCAGTTCTACGGAAGGTCCTTGTCATCAATCTTCCCCTGGTCTAGGAGGTTCTCAGTGGAGGGACCCTGGATCCAAAGGAAACACTCTGTTCTTGGCCCCTTTTTCTTGGTGGTATGAGGTCCCTCTCCTCTCTGCTCACTTCTCTGTTTTAGATCTCAAAAGAGATTGACTTGAGATACAACCTAATCTTGAAGATTGAGTTCTGCCTCATCAACATAACTGCCTCTAATCCTGCCTCATTAACATCATAGAGGTAGGATTTACAACACATAGAAAATCACATCAGATGATAACATGGTGGACAATCACACATCACTGGGAATCATGGCCTTGCCAAATTGACACACATTTTTGGGCGACACAATTCAATCCATAACAGTTGGATAAATGAAGAAGCCCTAACACTGAATTTCCTTAGAAGTAAAGAAAAAGCTGTTTTCCCTAAAGCTGCTACCACTTCTTGTTGATCTAGTACTAGGGCAGCCTTGAAAAGGAAGGACACATTTTAGTCTCTAACCAGAGCCCCATGATCCAGAAAGGAAACATTCCCATGCCACTCTTGTGGTAGAAATGACAGCCTGCCATCCCGACTGAATGTGAGCAGACCAGTCCTAAAAGCAACCCCACTCTAGAGCCTCTATTCCCAAAAGAACAGCCCACCTTTCAGCAGAGCTGATTAACAAATCTCAGGTTGATAACACAATTTAATGGTCAACATTCCTACAGAAGAAACAACTGTAGTTACAAAAATATTTTTTTAAAGCACTCTTACGTCTTTCTCCTTTTTATCAGGTACTGGGGTCTGCTTCCTCATGTTATTTCCGGTGTAGGCAACACATTTCTCAAAAAGGGGAAAAAAAGAGGGAGAGAGGAGAATTGCTTCGATTAGCAAGCTGTCTTTAAACTGTGAATAAAGCAAATCACTGTGAGCTGTCCTGAAGTTACACTTGTAAAACATGACTTGCATGTTGGACCAGAAAGTGATCCAGAGCCCAGTCAGTCCCGTGTAGCCCCTGACCTATACCTTTTCCACTACACAGTCTTTGTCTTACAGTTAATTAGAAAAACATCTTATCCTCCCTACTGGATTCTCATCTGATTCATCTCTGGACCACGTTCCTCCCAATGTAGCCAGCACAATTTCAAGTCCATAGAAGTACTCCGTAAATATTTCATGAAATGAAGGTAATACTCACTAGCTGCCATTCTCCTATGTCTTCATTCCAGTGGACATAGTTTTCAATCATTTCCTTTTAAAAGAGTTAAAGTCTACTTTTAATATTTAATAACATCTAAAATATTGAAAAATAATCATGGGACTAAAATCTTAACAATATTAAGTGAAAAAGATAAGTCTCAACACATATACTGCCATGACACTCTTTTTATAAACTGAACAACTACACTTTAAATATATATTAAAAAAAAAACAAAACCTCATTGCTGTCAAGTTGATTCTGACTCATAGCGACCCTATAGGACAGAGCAGAACTGCCCCATAGGGTTTCCAAGGAACAGCTGGTGGATTTGAACTGCCAACCTTTCAGTTAGCAGCCAAGCTTTTAACCATTGCACCACCAGGGCTCCTAAATATATATATATATACACTTCTTAAGACCATATGTAGATGCAGTTAAACTACATAAAAGGAAAAAACAAGGGAATGAGGAAAATGGGATTCAGGATGGCTACCTTGGGTTGGAAGAGGCAAAGGGATGGAATAAGGGAGAGTTAGAAGTAGGTTACTGTCTAAGTCCTAGCTTTTATCTTGGGTGGTGAGTTCACAAGCGTTCATTATAAAACAAATAAATAATTAAAAAACTAAATAAAGAAATCCAAGCCACCCAAAGACGAATACGTAGAATGTATCATGAATCAAGGATTTATTTATTTATTCAATTCTGTGCTCCTGTAGTCCAAAGAAAAAAATATCATGGCTTATTTTTAGACAAATTTCCTAAAGCTGTATTGAGATTTAAAATAAATTTTTTTTTTTAGAAGTCAATATGCTAAAGTTTACAAAAATATGCTAGAAAGATGAGAATTTGGGGTCAAAAAAATGGAAGCTCAGATTTTTTAACTATAGTAGTACTAAAGATTAACATCCATAAGCAGCGAAAAACGTTAGTACAGGGCTTCTGTTTATTCTACTTATAAGATAAAGGATGTTGAATGAATGAACAACCTTGATTTTGGTTGCAATTACATAATCTTGAGTTCCTCCAAACGGCTGAGAAATTCTCATTTGGATACTCAAATATTCAAACAGAAAACTGTGTGCAATTTGTGTATTGTTTAATGAGAAGCTAATTTTTTCTGTAAACTTTCAACTAAAGCACAATTAAAAAAAAAAAAGAAAATTATGTGCTAAGGAAAGTTAACAGCTGAAGTGAAATGGGATGGCATTAGTCCAAGAAAATGTTAGAGCTGGGTAAATGAAATGTAAATATTTACTACCAATTAAAATAGAAATTATATTTCCTTGTTCCTTAACCTAACCAGTCAAGTGATTTAATATGTAGGTCAGAAAATGTCTCTCTTACCTGATAATCCTGAGGTATAAAGTTATCAATAATAAGCATCTGAAGTCGAAGCTCCCGGCTAAGTTGTCGAATGTTCTCCAGTAGGCCTTCGATTTCCCTCTGATGTTCTTGTTGGAGATCGGCCATCTACCAGAAAAGTCATGAAGATATTATAAATAAACAGATCTAAAAAACAAAACAGCTCCATCTAACTTAGGGCACTGGTCTAAGAAATCTTGTGACACTTACCCAGTTCTTTCACAAAAACAATGGAGGGAGTGAGACTATCTATTATCATCTATTCTATGTTATTAGTTAAGGTATGAAAAGAAACAGTTTTGGCTTAATAGCTAAAATTTTAAATTGTACATAAAAGAGATATTTTATTTCTTTAAAATTATAAGAACACATTATGAGTCCTTTAGGAGTTTTAATCATACTTAATCAAAGAAACTTCTTTTTTAAAAAATTTAGCACTACATTAGTAGGTAACTTTTGAGATAACTAACCTCTGACTTTGCAGCCATCAACATAGTCCAAACTTTCTTTAATTTCTTGGTCTTTCCCTGCGCTTCTTCTTGCAAGCTGGTATATTTTTCTTCAATATCCAAGCGTTCTTGCTATGACAAAAATTGGCAAACTTCAGAATAACGTTCTTCATTAAATCACAAATTTAATTATTTTATAAATGATACAGATGTTTAGCAACTATTACCTTTCAAAGCGATCCATAATCTTCTTTAAAATTTCATTAAGACTAAAGACATTTAGCTTTTCACTCATAGTGATATTATAGGACAGAGTAGAACTGTCCCACAGGGGTTCCAAGGAGTGGCTGGTGGATTCAAACTGCCGACCTTTTGGTTAGCAGACAAGCTCTTAACCACTATGCCATCAGGGCTCCAGCTTTCTACTAGAAAAGTTAAATATCTTAGACAAAGAGTTAAACCAAAACCAAAAAGTATCATTACCTCTTTTTCCTCAAGTTCTTTACGAAGCTGCTCTGCTCTTTTCCGCCTTTCTTCCAGTTCCATATTAGATTCTTCAAGAAGTTTCTCTTGTTCCTCGGCTTTTGCCAACAAATCAACGCCACCAACAATTACCTTCTTCTCCAGTGCAGATAACTTTTCCAGCAAAGATTGATGCTCCTGTCTGTTCATTAAAATGAGAATATTCTGTATTCATGTATGATCTACTAGTCTACTACTACTAACATTTCCCAAAATTTAACAAGAATTTGGATGTACAACTTCAAAACAGGAATACAATTATGTAACATTTCTACCAATAATAATAATAATAATTTATTCTATAATTAATTCAAATTTAGATTTTTCTTTCCACACAGAGATAAAATAATCAAAACAGACATAAATTTCAGAAATACACCACATACAATGGAACCATTCTATCCAAAAAAAGCTATGCTGTTGTGTGCTGTCAAGTTGATTCTGACTCATAGTGATCCTGACACAGCAGAAGTGTCCCACAGAATTTCGTAGGCTACAGTCTTTACGGGAGCAGACTGTTATGTCTTTGCTTCCACAGAGTGGCTGGTAGGTTCGAACCAACTTTGTGGTTAGCAGCGGAGCAATTAACCACAGGGCCACCAGGGCTCCTTAAAAATAGCTATACTGGAAACAAAATTCAAGCTATTTCATTACTATTCCATTTTCTGGCTTACATATCCTACGAAAAACACTAAAACTTTAAATCATGAATTCATCTCAATTCAATCATACTCACTGGGCCTTAAGAAGATCCTTTTCTCGTTTCTCTAACTCAGCTCTAGCCTTATTTCTTTCTTCTTCCTCCATGTCAAGCTTTGTTTCAAGTGCTTTCCTCTCCTCATCAATTTTTGCTTGCATTTCAACCATCTTATCTGGAGAAACTTTCTTTTTACCTGTTTATTTAGTTGAAACAATCAATAAAATCAGTTGTGTAAATTGTCCAATGTATAACCGCCTAGATTTCTCAATAAAAAAAAAAAATCAACATTTTTAGGAAATCAAATGAATAATACACTTCATTTCTACTTATTATGTTCCTGGAAGAACTTTTTAATTAATTTCTAAATTCAAACTGTGGTCCAACTGTGCAATGACAGCTAAGAACAAAAGTAACTGAAAGAGCAGCAAAACAGACGAACAGAAAGATTAACAGGAAAATAAAATAAATAAAAAAGCAAAGATTTGTGTGTCCTAAATAACATCTGTAGGTCAAAAAAATGATATAATCCTTTTGTTACTTTTTCTGATAACCAGGTACAAAACCAAATGGTTTCTCAAAATATCTCCCCCAAAATCACATAAAGTAAATGCATAAGTAAAAGTCACATATACATACAAAATACATAGACAAAAATATGAGACAGCAGTTACATCAGTAAGTACTTTCTATTTTTCAGAGTTCTAAAATTTTTAATAAAATTACTTGGATGTAATTTATTTCACAGTGTACTTTTAAGGGAAGAAATTCTATACTGATTGCATAAAAATTACATAAAAATTAAGTCATTTTACAGTTGCTGAGCTGCCATGATATATCATTATACCGTAAATGAGCAACTAATATAACTCATTATCGTGTCAAATTCAGGACCACAACAATCTCCCTAAGTCGGAATAAATACAGGTGTCAAATATAAGTAGAAATACTGTGAAATAATATAGCAGGAAACAGACCTTCCAATCGATTATTTTGATTACAATGTCTAGTAGAATGTTTTATATACATGTAAGTGCTCAATAAAAATTCATTGAATGAATTTATTACGAAAAATCAAAAAAGCATATAAAAACCAGCTTATAAAACTGATTATGAAACTGAATCAAAGATAATTAATTTCTGGTAAAGCAATTTCTTGGAAACATACTTCCCTTCAGAAAACTGATCAAACTTTTCGTAGAACTGGTCTCAGGCTGTCCTGAAAGCTTTCTGCCATTCTTAACTTCCTTCCCAAAGGACCACAGAAGAAGAGTGAAAACCAGAAGAGTTTACAGATTGTTAACGTCTCCATCTAACAGTTAACCCCTCCTGCTAGCAAGGAAAGAGGACTGAAAAATAATTATGATGGAGATATATATCTGTATATATTCTTTCAGGAACCATGAGACGGAGAATCATCCATAGGCTTTAGTTCTTTAAGACAAAACTATATCAAAAACTCAAAGGTTTAAAATGTATTACCCTTCATTTCTACAGAAATATAAGTCCAAAATAAATCTAAGCCACAAAACACATAAGTTAAATAAAACGTTAAATAAAAGCACTGATCCAAATTCATGCTCTGGTGTGGTGTGATTCATTGCATTCCAAAAGTCAGGATGTAGAAATGATTCTGTTGACATTTTTGGCAAGTCACCTGTATTGAACCTTCTGAATTACACTGGTATAAAATAATTTTTTAAAATAAATTAATCCTTAATTCTAATGAATTCCTAGAAAGGATTTCCTGTCAGCAATACTATTTCTTAGAAATCTGAGGGGAAAAAGTTCCAGGTATAAAGCAAGTACATGCATTTAAAAACTTGTAACTTCTTTCCCACCTCAGAATTACAAATATTTAAAGGAAAAAAATAAAAAGGCAAATATGTTAAGACAGAAAAAAAGTTTGTGTGAAGACATGGTTACTAACAGTATGGAGGAAATGATTTGATCAACATATGAACACTGATATTTTTAGGCTTCTAGGGTCCTAATTATTTTGTTAACCATTAAAAACTTATAGTTTTAAAACCCATCAAGAGCAATAAAACATTTTATATGCAGAAATACAAACACACATACCTACTGATGAATTGCTACTCTGCCTGAATTGCATTACTAATTCAAAACCATTCAGGTAATTTTTTTTTAAATAGATACTTGGGCAGCAAAAATCTTATTGTATCCTTGTAACATTTTCATGAAGATGACCATGCATGCATAGCCAGGTTTAGATGTGAAAGTCTAATACTTAGTAACGCATTACTCTAGCATGAAATCATTCTGACAAATCACTGTATTTCTTCCCAAATAATACTTTCAGCTAAACGTGAATACGTACCTACTCTCCTAACCAGGCATTTTAAAGTGTGACATCATTAAAAGTCACTTTTACATAAATTTTTTTTACAATATAACAAAACCTAATTAACTAAACCAACAAACAAAAAAACCTTCTTCCTCTAACGTTCCACGATATGGCTCAGCATAAAATTTCTGGTAAATAAATCTAAAAAAAGTTAATGTCATAAGGATTATTTAATTAAACTAAACAGGAGTAGTATCATTTTAAACTGTCTTTTGCCTTTGCCATATGCTGTAACAAAAACTGTGATGGTGAACTTTGGCAAGAAAAAGTTAAAGGGAAGAATTTCTGGGAAGGATTAATTTAATTAATTTCATTTTCATGACATGAGCCCCTATGGGCATAGGTATCCAGGCATTTGAATCCTGGCTTAGGAGGAAAAAAAGGGAGATAAACGTTTGAATGTGAAATCATTCACATTTGTACTTCCAAAATGTAGTTTAATGGGTCTTTAAAAATTTAGACAAAAAAGGATTTAAAAAAAAAAAAGCTTAAGTTACCCATGAAGGATATTTTTAAATATAAAAGACAGATACTTACCTTGTAAAAAAAATTACAATTAAATTTTTAAAAGTGTAATGTAGTTAAATAACAAAGTTATTTATGGGATAAATAATTGTACCATGTGGAGTGCAAATCAATCACACCAACCTGCTTGATCTTGCAATAAGAAGTAGTAAGCAAATCGTAGACAGGAAGCATGTGCACAGAGATGAGGAGGAAAAAAAGAAAACATTACTTCTTTTGTAAAACACAGAAAAATGTATAACAGCATTCATTTACAGTATAAGTACAGAAATAAATCACTATCAAAACTGAAATAGAGCCCATGTAAAAACAAAGTATATTCAGCACAATGAGAGATTAATTTAAGCAAAGGTAAGATTAATTTAATCTGAGATTACAATTCAAATCAATCGCAAGAGCTCACACTGAATCCCAAACTCCTGCAAATCTGTTGGGCACCATGTGGGTATACTAATGGTAGACAGGGAACTGGGAACCTGCTAAGACCTGGAAAGTAGTCTAAAAGGGCAAAACAGAAAAATACACAAATTTAAAAAATTATTACGTTAAAAGTAACCAAATTCAAATTCTTCATTTCCAAAATTTCCCAATTCAGTGCTCCTTCTAGTACTGTACAAGGACCCATTACAGGTCTGCCCCCTTTTAAGAAAATCTGATTCAAAGACCTCAACCAACTAAAGAGATAGATTACAGTACTTTGTATTGCTTTTTTTTATTAACAAAAGGATAGAATGAAGTATTTTTAAAGATGGCAAGTTTTCCCAATGCAGTCACAATGTGATTTGATTTTCCAACTTGATTTATAAGCAATTTTTTCCGAAAAGCATTACCTAAAGCGAAGCACACCTGTATCATAAAAAACTTACATTCAATCTACTAGTAGATTAAAAGTAATTATAATAATGATTCTATAAAAGCAAATGGACAATTGATGACTCAAGCAAGGGACACCTAAAATAAATTAAAAAAAAAAAGACCATTCATATTTTTTAAAGGGAAAGTACATACAAGTTACATAGAGCAACCACATGCTGGGGAAACCATCTCTCCAGTTCACCAACACACCCACATCGCAACAAAAAAAAATTTAACAGTATATGCTAGTTATGCAAATAGTAATTAAAAGTTCTTGAATTAAAAAAGTACAATTCATTTCATAACATACTTTAATATAAACCTAAAACCAAACCCACTGCAGTCGAGTAGCTTCTGACTCATAGCAACCCTACAGGACAAAGTAGAACTGTCCCATAGGGTTTCCAAGGCTGTAATCTTTACGGAAGCAGACTGCCACATCTTTCTCCCACGGAGCAGCTGGTGGGTTCGAACTGCCAATCCTTTAGTTAGCAGCCGAGCACTTTAACTACTGTGCCACCAGGGTTCCTCCTACTTTAATATAACTATACTCTTAAAGAATTAAAGTAAGTTTTAAAACAGCAAATTAAATTACAATGCCTCCCACTCAGAGATTTTTCTTGTGTTTTGCAGTTTATAATACAAAATAATACCTCTATATGGTTTCTAAAGCAATTTCATATCTTTCAATTTCAATTATCCTCTAAAATTAATTATTTTGGTAAAATGCTTAATAATTGTCAATAGAGAAAAGTATTTCCAATATTCTTGGAAATGTTCCTTCAGGAAGATAAAAACATAAGAACAATAACCAATTGTTTTTGTTATTAGTTTTAGAAAGGGTAAGGATATAGATAATGCTTTAAAAGACAGTAAGCTGCAAGCTAGCACAAGAAAACTTTACCTTTCTTTTCTTCTGAAAATAAAATATAAATAGATAAAATTAATTGCTTTTGAATTGAATTAGTTAAGGTTTAAGAAAAAGCCTTTAAGTTTGAAATAAGTATAGATAGATTCTACATAAACTTCTCATAGATTTGAATTCTTTAAATCACACCTTAGAAAGCTCCCTTAAAATTGGTTAGGTAATTTAGAAATAGGAATCTATGACCATTTGAAATAAAATACTATTCAATTTATCTTTACTTGCTTCAAACTTTACATTTTTTTGAATTTGGAAGCTTTTGATCTTAAGCTACCCCTAAGAATAGGACACATACCAAAGTATAAAATCTTTTAAATTGTAAGACATGTAATAATGGGCACTAGTGTACTTCCAAATATAATGAACACTTTTAGAAATTCAGGATTTGTTATTACATGTCCCTTATACTGATTAGGATTAGAAAACTATCATCAAAACATACAAAGAAACAAGAATTATTCTTTTATACAGCTTACTAGCTCTCTTTACATTATCTCAATTGGAAAAGCATGAATCTCCCTTCCATTGTTTCAAACATAAGCTTAAGCATGTCTTAACAATTATGGTTAACTGGAAGCAATGAAGAGGGGGGAAAAATCAACACATGCTTTGGTCTGCTGAGAAGTCCAACATGTATTCTTAAGTAATGACAGGGAGCGGTGCAGCATTTCTCAAATGAAACCCATGGGTTATGGAAAAGCCAAAGCTCTGTTAAGAGAATTGAAGAGCTACCACTCACTAGGCAAGAACTTATCCAGAGGTTTCTCTATCACAGAACATGTGGAGTCTGAACTACTGCTGCTGCTACTGCCTGGAAGACAAAGAAATGAGCCCAACCGGAACCAAAAAGAGAGAAACAAGAAATGAACACATACACGGAGAAAAACTCAGTTCCAGAAGAAAGAATTTTAAAGAACAATCAAGCTTTGTATTAAATAACCAAAACTTTTCTTTCCCCCTTACAACCAGTCTTGATAGTCTATCCAATACAAAGCCATACAGTGGAATTAGAAACCATGTTCCTTTAAGCATCTACTCTGTCAAAACCCACTATTCACCCAAAAGATAGTAATTCAGAGGACTGAAATAACAAGAATAAAAAATAAGTCATTTGGTGATATGAAAGTCTATCTAAACTATCTAGGTTGATAAGTTGAAGGCACTGAGTTCTAAAACTTAAAAAGCCATTTCCAGTCGCTGTTGAGTTGATTCCAACTCATGGCGACCCCACGTGTGTCAGAGCAGAAATGTGATCCTCAGGATTTTTAATGGCTAATTTGTTTCAGAGGTAGATGACCAGGCCTTTCTTCTGAGGTACCTCTAGGTGGATTCAAACCATCAACCTTTTGGTTAGTAGCCAAGCATATTAATTTCTGCACCACCCAAGGACTAAAAAGTCATATACAACTAAAAATATACGAATGATAAATTACCCCTTATTATAGCCAGGTTGGAGTCCCTGGGTGGTATAAATGGTTAATGCACTTGGCTGCTAACCAAAAGGTTGGAAGTTGGAGTCCACCCAGAGGCACCTTGGAAGAAAGGCCTGGCAACCGACTTCTGAAAAATCAGCCATTGAAGACTCTATGGAGCACAGTTCTATTCTAACACACATGGGGTCACCATGAGTCAAAGTCAACTCAATGGCAACTGATACAGCCAGGTTGGTCTGTCTCCAATTTTGCTCTCTCCCTTCTAAAATATCAAACCACCAGATATAATTATTTATGTTTAAGGTTTCACAGCAATACTTCAAAAAGGTTCACTGAAAACTTTTCAGCTTCCAAGCCTGGAAAGAAAGTATTATTAAATATTCTGACATATTAAACAATCGCAATTTTTTCTACTTACAATTTTAGTTTTAACAAATCCATTACCTGCTTTAGCTTGGAAAAGAATCGTTAACTCTGAAAAAATAGGTATGAACATAAAAAACTATTTATCTAAATCAGGAATCAGCAAACTTTTTCTGTTGATGGCCAGATGATAAATGTTTTAGGCTTTGCGAGACATATGGGCTCTGCAGCAATACTAACCTCTATTGCTATAATGTAAAACAGTCAGAAGACCATACATAAACAAGTGAGCATGGCTGTTTTAATAAAATTTTATTTACAAAACAGGTGGTAGGCCAAATTTGGCCCACGGGTCATACTTTGCCAACTCTTGCTCTGAATCATGCTTTTCCTGCCAGTTGAAGCCACAGAGTCTTTACAGTTTTTAAATCTAGGGCTCCTGATCAAGAAGTGATGGGTTTTGTTTTTAGCAAGGTCATTTTAATAAGACAAGCAAAATATGCACCAGCTTCAAAACAATGATCCACATTAATGGAAGAGAATTCTGAAATAATACTTGGGGTAAGAAAGCTTGAAATATAGACCCTTATGATATGTCTCTCTCTTTTGCATGTTATTCTATATCTTTATCACAACAAATACAATCTTAATTTACACTTGGCAACAAACGCCCCAAAAGAGGGTGAAAATGAGAGTACATTTTATAAAGAAAAAAAATGAACTAAAAAATATCCTAAAAAAGATAGTCTCTCCATATAAATTTATTATTTAAAAATTCAATGACTTCTAAGACTAACTGTGCTTGAGAAAAACTCCACAGTAACCTAATTACCTAAGAAATTCAGGTTCCAAACATAGACAAAAGTTCTTACATAAAGTTAAAACACTACATGAAATTAAAAAATGATGTATCCACTATCATAGATATTTACAATTCTAAAATTTTAAAATAACAGAACATATGGTATTATGGTTCAGCTATAGACAGGAGGTCACTATAGGAGAAAAACAATGATGCAAATGTATTATGTCCTCTGTTCTAACTGCTACCATTACTAAAAATGACAAAATAAAAGGCCTGCACTCTACTGCCTTAAGAAAAGTTAAACTATTATTCAGAAGTAATCCTACTTAATTTCCATAAATTAGAACACAAAAAAGAACTTACCCCTTCTTTTTTTCCTTTTCTCTCCATCTTCTCCAACTTCACCCTCTTCATCATCTTCTTCCTCTGATTCACTGATATCAGATCCTGATATTTCTTCCCCTTGGACAGAAATTTAGTATGATTTTTATTCTGCACCAAGTCACTGGATTCTTAGGAAATGCCTCTATCAACTTCCCTTAAGTTTTGTTGCCACAAACAGACCTTAAATACTCCTAGACAGTATACAGCAGATATACTAACCCTAGAAATAGACATGATATAAACAGATGCTTTATTTCTAAAGTTCCTAAAGAGACATTACATTCTGATCCACTTAAAATTTCAAACCACAAATTTAAATACAGTTCTACATATATAAAAATTACGTGTTAGAGTTATTATTTCAGCCTTTTAAAAAGGTTTTTTTCCTTTTGGGGAGCATTTTCTACTCAGCTTACAATTTGGTAAGATTTTAAATCATTCAATCTGTATATTTAAGAGCTATAAAACTGTCATCTAACAGCAATTAACTAATTAACTAACTGATTAAACTAATATTAATACAGGGCAGTATTATATTACATTTAAAGCCGTGATTTAAAAATACCACTGTCCATACACGAAATATCTAAGACAACAACCGTAATTGGGGAAAATAAGTAAAATATGCACTAATCACAAGCAGGTAATAAATATACCTGTAAATAAAGGATGGCAAGAGATCACAGAACCTTGGGAGAGAGAATTTGTCATAAATATTTTGTTCTGGACGAATGGATAAACAAACTATGGTATATCCACACAATGGAATATCACGCAATGATAAAGAACAATGATGAAGCTGTGAAACATCTTATAACATGGTGGAAGCTGGAACTTATTATGCTGGGTGAATTTAGTCAGTCACAGAAGGACAAACACTGTATAAGACCACTATTATAACAACTCAAGAAAAGGTTGAAACACAGAAGAAAACATTCTTTGATGGTTACGGGGGTGGGGAGGGAGGGTGAGTGTTATTCACTAACTAGATAGTAGCTAAGAAACATCTTAGGTGAAGGGAAGGACAGCACACACTACAGGGGAAGCCAGCACAACTGGACTAAACCAAAGCTAAGAAGTTTCCTCAATACAATCAAATACTTTGAGAGACAGAGTAGCAGGGATGCGGGGTCTGGGGACCATGCTTTCAGGGGACATCAAGGTCAATTGGCATAACAAAGTTTATTAAGAAAATGTTCTAGGCATGTGGGGTCTGGGGACCATGCTTTCAGGGGACATCTATGTCAATTGGCATAACAAAGCTTATCAAGAAAATGTTCTGCATCCTACTTTGGTGAGAGGCGTCTGGGTCTTAAAAGCTTGCAAGCAGCCATCTCAGATGCATCAATTGGTCCCAACCACTTGGAGTAAAGGAGAACGAAGAACATCAAAGACACAAGGAAAAGTATTAGCCCAAGAGACAGAATGGGCAACATAAACCAGAGACTTCATCAGCCTGAGACCAGAAGAACTAGATGGTGCCTGGCTACCACCAATGAACGTCCCGACAGGGAACACAACAGAGAGTCTCTGATGGAGCAGCAGAACGATGGGATGCAGAACTCAAATTCTAGTAAGAAGACCAGACTTAATGGTCTGACTGAGACTGGAGGCACCCCAGAAAGCACGGCCCCTGGACTCCCTATCAGCCCAGAACTAAAACAATCTCTGAGGCCAACTCTTCCGACAGGGATTGGACTGGACTGTGGGACATAAAGTGATACTTGTGAAGAATGTGCCTCTTAGTCAAGTAGATACAAGAGACCAAAGGGGCGGCTTCTGTCCAGAGGTGAGATGGGGAGGCAGAGAGAGTTAGGAGCTGGTTGAATGTTCATGGGGAATCAGGGGCAGAGCAGAGGAGTGTGCTGTCGCAGAATGGGGTGAGTGGTTGGGGTCTCATAACAAGGTATGTAAAAAAAAAAAAAATTCTGTATGGGAGATTAACTTGAAATGTAAACTTCATTTAATTACAATAATAATAAAAAAAAAACCAAAAAAAAAAAAGAAAGAAAATGTTCTGCATCCTGCTTTGGTGAGTGGTGTCTGGGGTCTTAAAAGCTTGCAAGCGGCCATCTAAGATGCATCAATTGGTCCCAACCAC